TCCGTCGTACTCGACGGGAACCTCTTAAGGTATTTGTGGAGAGTGTTGTTTAGGTTTACTTGTTTCCTTCTCGTTGTTAAAGGTAGAATTGGTAGGTTAAAGGGTTAAAGACGCAAAGGAGAGATGGGTGGTTAGAGGATAGGGTGCTCGCCAAGGATTGGGGCCCTTGTGCCTACTATGCTCATTCGAACGAGAATGAGAAATCAGAGCGTCGTAGTTCGACTACGGGAAAGGATGGGAGTGGACAAAATAATGGAGGAAGATAGAAGTGTGCTCGCCAAGATCATCGCAATCTTGTGCCTACGTATCTTATATTCAAGAATGAATAAAGAATCAGAGCGTCCGTATTTCAGGGTAATAACCACGAAAAGACAAGGGATTGAATTGGGTTAAAGTTGAGTTTGAGACGAAAGATTGACTGACAAGCAACCCAAGAGCGTGCCTCGAGAGCTTGTCACTCAAGAATTCAAGGAATGCGAGATCCCAAGAACTCAATTCTTTCGGAAGCTTGGTTGAAAAGAGTTGGATGTTTTGAAATCGAAAGAATGAACTAATAACAACTCGAGGGCGCGCCTCGAGAGTTACTCATTCGAATACTCAAAGAATGCTAGATTCTGAGAATATCCCTCTTTCGTAAGTTTTAAAAAAAATGTTTGTGAAAGGATCGAATCGGAAAAAAATGGCATGCGAGGCCAAAAGGAAGTTGCTTTGAAGTAGTTCGACGACGTGTCGAGGATTTGATTGAAAATGAAACCGACTTGACGATGTGTCAAGGGTTAAGATTGTGAGAATCGATATTAGTTCCTGAGGGTGCCCCCAATAACGAAACCACGAGGGGTTGTCAATATGTGCGAAATGTGAGTTGTGAATGCGTACGAGCTCTCGACTTAGGAGAATGTTGGAAAATGATTGAGTTTGAAAAAGAGTCGAAAGGTTGAGTGAATAACAACTCAAAAGCGTGCCTCGAGAATTATTCACTCGAAGACACAAGGAATGCTAGATTCCAAGTGCCTCCTTCTTTCGGAGTTTTGATCGAAAAAAGACGTTGAGAATGTGTTTGAGAAAATCAAAAGATTGAATGAATAACAACTCAAGAGCGAGTCTTGAGAGTTGCTCATTCGAAGATCCAAGAAATGCTAGATTTCAAGAATCCCCTTCTTTTGGAGTTTTTCGAGAAAATGTTTAAAAGATGATTTGAAGCGAAAATGACATAGTCTTGACTGAATTATCATCTGTCAATAATTTGACTGATAATAATCATTAAAGTCATCCTAGACTAAAAAAATGGATAAAACGAAAATGAAAGTTTCAAAAAAAAGATGGTCTCGGGTTTGTTATTATTTGTCAATAATTTGGCCAATTATAACTTGGGGTATCGTCATCGACCCAAAAATAAGTAGGAATGGAATAAAATATTCAAAAACCAAATGAAAATAAAATCTAACTTAAAAATAAATATATAAATCTTAAAACTATAATATATACATATTAATAAATCTGTTCGAAAAAATATATAGATTAAAACTAATGAACAATCTTAAGACATATTAAGAAATAATACATATTAATCTAATAAGAAAAGAAAATAAGAGAGTTTTTTTCAAAACAAGGTGAGTAAAGAATAGAAGGAAAGGTCAAAGCAAAAATGGAGAAAGTAAAGGTGATATGGACCGTTGAACCCATGGTCTATCAGTATGGTTTGAAAGGATTCGAAACCCACGCCCAAAGGGAAACCCAACATCAACAACGTGCCTCGAGGAAGAAAAAAAAGAACTTAAAAAAAAACAACTAAAACATTGCGTGTCACACAACCTTCTACTATTTTCGTCAATCTCTTCCGTCAAGCTTCAATCGGGTTTGTAATTCGCTCACCGTCCTCTTCCTCTTTCTATTCTCTGCTTTTGTTCATCTCAAACTTCTTCTCACCTTTTCGCTCTATTCTCTGCGTCTATTCCCCTCTCTGTTTTGATTCTAAACTGTATGTTTATGAAGTGAGAAACAGTTAGGTTTTGTATGCAGTGGGAAGATTGGGGGTTTTCATTGTTGTCAATTGGTGGGTTTTTTTGTGGGTTTCAAGGTCTGGAAATATGGGGTTTGAGAAAAACGAAGGTATGATGGAAGTTTGCTTAGTTCGGCGACTATCTCGGAAAAGAAGAATGTTTGTTAGTTTGGGTTTGAAGGTTTAAGGAATCAGGTTTCGGTTTATTGTTGTTGAGGGTATGAAGGCTGGAGATTCTGAAGGTGAGAAAGGTAAATCGAGTGAAGTGACGGAAATGGTGGAGACGCTTCTGGTTTGAAGATAAATCAACGTTCGCGTTTCGGATTTTTTGGAAGAAGGATCGAAGTTATGAGTTGGGTGTGTTCTTTTTGGGGTGAAGAAAGTTGGAAAAATATTAGGGTATCAAGTGTTGAGGGTCTTTTGGGGTTTATGGCTGATGAAGAATGAGAGAGTTTTTTCAAGCTGCGAAGGAGATTCTTGTTCAAGAAGGTGGCGACTAGGTCTTGTTCACCTTTTCCCTTCTATTGTGGTTATCCTTTATACCGAAAAGAAAGGTAAATTGGAGAGAAATTCTAAAAAAACCAAAATGAAATATCATTGATGTGTTGCCGTTTTGCAAAATGCTGGTGTCTGCTGTGTAGTACGACCTTGCAGGCTGTGTGTGCTGCTACTGCTGTCCTTTGGCTGGTTGTGGCTTGATGTAAATGATTGTGGTTGCTTTTTGCTACGAGGTCCAAATGAATTGAGCAGCTACTTTTTATTGAAGGTATCCCCTGTATCCGAGTACCCTCTTGTACCTTTTTCATATTTTTGAATTTTCATTTTAAAAGTTGAGAAATTTAATATTTATGAATATGGCTTGCAAAGTTAAATGTCTTGGTTCGCGCAGGATTAGCTGGTACACTAAAAAATGGTGAGGTGATAGCTCATAGAAGGGAATGGCTCGTCTTGGTGAGTGCGTCGCGGACCGGCTGTGGACCCTCACAACTTTCTGCATTACTGATGTGCCCGGTCTAATGGGGTATGGCAGTTGATAGGGTTGTTTGTGATGTAGGTACGTCGCAGTTTTTACGGTAGTACAAGTTGTTGTGTAAATAGGAATTGATAACTTTCTCCTTATTTTCGTCATTTTGTACGTAGGGAAATTGAAGTGGCCCACCATATGATTTGTGCGATAGCAGTCGCTCCTTGTCATGGGGTAGCTGGGAATGACTTGCAGTATGTCAGACGGTTTCTGCATCTTGAATCTGGTATGTGAAAGGTAAGGAGAGGCTTACTTGAGGTTTGGAGCTCGTCACTTGCGGTTCTGGTTTGCTTCTTTTCATTTCGCAGCAAGTGATCACATTCATACCCATCTTATCATGCTTCCCAACCTGTTCCTAGTCATAAACATTGAGCTCTAAAACCTGGGACTCTGGATCTTTGACTACCAAATTAAATTCTTCATTCCATTCAGGATTTAAGTTCTTGTGCTTTACAGTAGTCTTTTTTGATGGCATCTTATCGTCAGTAAACTTTAGTTTCATGTAGGGATCAGATGCACCAAGAAGATCTTTCTTCTTTAACTTCATGGCATGCAGAACCTTTACATGTAAAATTCCAACAGGCCTCCTCCAAGCTTTTGCCGGATCTAGTATTTGAACTTCCAGGTTTTTGGGCCACAGATACATGTTTGCAACCTGATCTTTGATAAGCTCCTGAACAATCCCGTAGACACCAGGGATAGACATAAGATCAGCCACCATGAGTTTTAGGCCAAAGTCAACATGTGGCTTTTCCATGAGAGAAACAAAGATGTTGGCAAAGCAAGGAAAGCTGGGAACCAAAGGCTTCAAAGTAATGCGAGGCAAAAGAAAAACTTGCAAATCAACAACTTAAACGGTTGCTTTCAACTCAAATGCCTTTACAACAATGGTGACATTAGGATTTCCAGCCTATTTTATAGAAGGCTCCATAATCAACTCCTTCTCGTCAGTCACGTAAACTTTCATTCCTTGAAAAGTTGGGGGCAGGGACCCCAGAGTGAGTGTTTGAAACTCAACAGAATCAATTTTATATCTTGGGATATGCTCTTCTATAATGGGTTTCGCAATGTTCTTAGCAGTCTTACAAATTTCCTTTTCAAGATAAGGCCACATAAGTTCTATAAACTTATTAAGCCAGTCAACCCTATCAAAATCATGATTCTTAATCCAATTAGGAATCTCAGGAAGCATTCGTTGCAAACTCTCAGCATCTTGATCCACCAGTGGCTTAATTTCAGGATCCTCAACATCAGTAGGTTGAAAGTAAATGAAGAGAATGTAACCAACAGTGAGACCAATTGAAATTCCAAAACTGAAACCGAAAACCCCAAAAAATGGTACTGAAGAAACCCATTTCAGATACAGTTTTGAATCGATCTAGCGAATTTTCAAATCGGGACTTGTTTTCAGTTCAGCATTAGTACTGTATGATACTGAAACGGAAAGTGTGAAGAACGGAAAATGATTAGGTGTTGTTATCCTTAAATCTAGGGATAGTGTGGGGTCTGCTTCGGACAATTTTGTATAAAGTGTGGTGCATTATTGATCCTGACTTGCAAGACACGGTTGTTTTCTACATAACGGTTGCAGCTTGTGTGGTTGGCGATAGGTGTCCAGGTTGTGGTATTGTGATTTTTTTTCTTCTTTCATTGTTTTTGAGGTGTATTGATTTTGTGGATCCTGGTTGTGTTTTTTGCATATGACTTCTCACTTTGCCGTACTGCAGGTCAACCTTGCACCGTGAGTTATTGTGAATCATTAACTTCACGTGGTGTCCGCAACGGCTTGGCAACTTTAAGAACGTTAGTTTGAGTGCATAACCGTAACTGACTTCTTGCGTATTTCATGTAGGTGGTGATGAAGTTCAACGGTGAAAATCCATACCTTCAGCAGTCCAAACAGCAAATTGGGACTGTTGCAGAATGAACGTAACCACAGGTGAAGACATGCGCTAAAGAGGTCTACAATCAGTCTCTATGAAGCTGCATCTGAAACCCGTAGCTTCACCAGCAAGTAAAATTATAGTGAAATGGTTTGTACATACCTACTACTGCAGGTTGTTTGTAATTCAGTACATAGGTTTTGTGTGTTAATTTGCTGCTAGAATTGGTTTTGTCTTTTTGCAGGGTGTATTGTGGTATTATGCAAGCTTTGTACTGTGCTGTTGTGGGTTTGCTCATGCCGTCAATTGTTCATGTTACGGCTGGCGTACGATCCAAAAGCGTGACTTTATTGCCGTTGCTTCAAGTCACGTGTTGCTTGGGCTTAAAACCGTGAGAGTCATGATGGTGATGTTCTACAGACCGAGAAGTTTGTTGCGAAATAGACGTTTGGCTTCAGTAAGAAAAATGATGAATGTGTGTTAAAGGATGGTTATTCTGCTGTTTGGTTCATGTTGCTGTTGTGAACGAAATTTATCGGGATTCTTAACATTCGTTTGTTGTACGGTGCGCGGCAGGTTTTGGAGGTACAAGCTTATCCTCCTCTTGGATGTACTAAAAGAAATTAGGAAGAGTGGCCCATGTGCAGGTCGTGAGGCTTGTTTGATGGTAAGATTTGCAAATTGAGTCGCGTGATGCAGCAGACTGTGGGAAATTTTGTATGCCTTATTTGGAAGATGATGTTGGTGGCAGCAACGTTTATAATTTTGTAATAACTAAAAGACTCATATTTGTATGATTTGTGAACTCAAATTCAAACAGACATAGCATTTCGTTTTGGGACTATCTAGCATCCTTGTACCACTCTTTGGGCTTCAATTGGTAATGGACTCAAAAAAAAATGGTAATGGTTTCCTGTATATGTATTCAAAAGACGGTGATGGAATGCAATAAAATGATGGGCTCTAAATTGTAAACTTGAGTCACTTTCGCCACTTGAAAAACGATGTACTAAAATCTCATTTGAAGTCTTCTTTGACAATGCCTTAGTGAAAAGATCCAAAAATGAGATAAATTAAAATGTGTGACCATTATGTATGTCTTGAACTTTTTCCAGGATCAAACGAACCCAAGTTCTCACAGCTCGGAATTGTAGGTTATCTTTTGAGACTTTGGAATAATTTTGAATATTCTGTCACTTGATTCCATCAGATGACTTACATAAAACTTTGTTCCTGATCTCTTGATGGTTTCAACATCCATGACACGAATAACTCGTAAAGGAAATAATTCGATTTTGACCAAAGTTAAATCAAATTCTAACCAACTTTAACCATTGTTGCACATACTTGGCCGGGTAACATCAAAGCAGATAGGAATCTTGATTCGAAGAACCCCCCGATTTTAGGCATTGATCTAAACCAAATTTTCTTGACTAAAGTTAGTTTAAAAACCATTGAATCTTCATCAATATTACCCACACGCCTGACCTGATATCTTCAATTGAAAATGACCACATATTTTTTTATTTTTTTTTCCGAATAAAGCAAAGGGATAAATATACAGAATGGAAACTATACAAAGGTAGGACAAATTTAGGGTATGACAGATGCCCCTATCTAATTGGCTTAAATCGAGTGAGATGAACTACTGTGGAGTTCATTCTTTCGAGGTAGAAAACAAATAGATATGAAGAAAACCCTAAATTTGTCCGAAGAAAAAAGAAATGCCAGGGAAGTGGAATGTTGGATGAGGCATACCAATAAAATAAACTATGAAAGACTAGCAAAAGGTTGTCATCACCAAAAGGATGATGGAACAAAACACACCCGGCTACTATCACCAAAAGGATGATAGAGCAAACACACTCGAACAATCTGACACCAGACGAGATGACAGACCCCCCACCAAAAGGATGACGGAGCAAAACTCACACAAAACAATATCGCACAATCCATCATTAATGGCTATGATAGACCCCATACCCAAAGGATGACGGAGCGAAACACAAACAAATTATCGCACAATCTATCATTAATGACTATGATAGACCCCCCACCAAAATGATGACGGAGCGAAACATAAATAAAACTATCGCACAATCTATCGTTAATGACTACGATAGACCCCCCACTAAAAGGATGACGGAGCGAAGCACAAACAAACTATCGCACAATCTATCATTAATGACTATGATAGACCCCCCACCAAAAGGATGACGGAGTGAAACATAAACGAAACTATCACACAATCTATCATTAATGACTATGATAGACCCCTCACCAAAAGGATGACGGAGCGAAACACAAATAAATTATCGCACAATCTATCATTAATGACTATGATAGACCCTTCACCAAAAGGATGACGGAGCGAAACACAAATAAATTATCGCACAATCTATCATTAATGACTATGATAGACCCCTCACCAAAAGGATGACGGAGCGAAACACAAATAAATTATCGCACAATCTATCATTAATGACTATGATAGACCCCTCACCAAAAGGATGACGGAGCGAAACACAAATAAATGATCGCATAATCTATCATTAATGACTATGATAGACCCCTCACCAAAAGGATGACGGAGCGAAACACAAACAAACTATCACACAATCTATCATTAATGACTATGATAGACCCCTCACCAAAAGGATGACGGAGCGAAACACAAATAAATTATCGCATAATCTATCATTAATGACTATGATAGACCCCTCACCAAAAGGATGATGGAGCGAAACACAAATAAATTATCGGACAATCTATCATTAATGACTATGATAGACCCCTCACCAAAAGGATGACGGAGCGAAACACAAACAAACTATCGCACAATCTATCATTAATGACTATGATAGACCCCTCACCAAAAGGATGACGGAGCGAAACACAAACAAACTATCGCACAATCTATCATTAATGACTATGATAGACCCCTCACCAAAAGGATGACGGAGCGAAACACAAATAAACTATCGCACAATCTATCATTAATGACTATGATAGACCCCTCACCAAAAGGATGACGGAGCGAGACTCATGCAAACTGGTCGCTATCACCAAAAGGATGATAGGACAACGCAGATTTGATGTTTACCAACACCAAACGGATGCAGGCTAGGTTGAACCGACGAAGTTCGACTATCACCAAAAGGATGATAGTAAGGCAATTGACAACGATCACGCTTGCTGGGTACAACTCATTGGGGAACCCCCAAGAGGAAGATTGGATTGAAATGAATCAACGGGGTACGCCCACCGTCTTGCTTGGAAATCATAATTTTGTTGAAATGATTTCATGGTTACGCCCATGAACTCTGAAAGGGATGCCCCTGACTGGGCTGAGTTTATCTTAATGTCTGGCCTTGCTCAACAAAAGGTTGAACAACTTCGTGAGGAACGCTCATGGTTTTGCTGAAGATGCCCCTGACTGGGCTGAGTTTATCTTGATGTCTTGTTTTAATCAACCGCGAGGTTGAGATACGTCATGGGAGGTACCCATGGTCTTGAAAAAGATGTCTCTGACTGGGCTGAATCTTGCCTCGAATGTTTTGAAATTTTGTGGGAGAAACCCACAATCGCAGAAGATTGCCCCTGACTGGGCTGATGATTACTTTGAAGCTCTTGAAAGTCGTGGGACAAACCCACAATCTTGCGGAGGATGCCCCTGACCGGGCTGATGATGGTCTTGGAAATCTTCAAGATTGATCCTGGACCTTGACTTGCATATATGAATGCTGGATGATAAATCATATTCCATATGAGTGGAAGTGCAAATGCAAATGCTGACGCGCGGAGATGCAAGATCTAGGGAAGTATAATTGATTTGATTATGCATATGATGCAAGACGCTTATGATGTTGAATGCGATGCTTATGATACACATAACGCAGACGGGTAATTGGAAATGCAGGTGTAGACGCCGGCGTGGTGGACTTTTGGTAGTTGCCAATGCGGATTGGACTTCGGGTGGTGGGAGGGATTGACTTCCTCGACACGCAGTTCATTGAAGACGACACGATTGAAGTAGAAGATGATGCTCTGGATGCCCCAAGTCTGGGTACTTTGTGGTTTACTGTGAATTTGCTTTAGAGAAGGTTGCAACTCTGCTTGATGGTCAGGACGGCCTGGCCTTGCCCCAGTTGAAACTTGTTAATGGCTTGCCCCTGCTCGAGCTCTTGAGTGGTTTGCCCCAGCCTGTGGATTTTGAGGTAGTCTTGCTTCGTGAAAGCCACTGAAAGTCAAGTTCCTCCTTGATTGCCTTTTGTTGAAATGTCTTTGAATACCTAGCACTGTTTTGCAATTAAAATTGTACATTCACAAATGGTAATATTAATGCAAAATTTGATGCCAGATTTGAACAAGTATCGTTTTATTGAGGTGTCGTGGTAGTGAGGCGAATGGATCATCAGCCCAAACGTTGTGTTGTTTGATTGGTGTAGAAGATATTGCAAGGATAACGACACCAACGTTGTTGATTATAAATCATGTGAGGAGTCACGCTACGCAACCTTGCGACAATATGCTTTCAGAATAACCCCCGCCTCAATTAGGTCTTTCGAGGGCTGTAACGTGGTCTGGTTCATGGTTATGAAACAAAAGGTTATTAGGCTCAAAGTATGATTTGCACCCACCCCTTCTTCTTAATGATCTCCAGTCCTACGCTCAGTTAATTCTACACTTGTCTTGACGGTATAAACTTGATGATTCAAGGTTTGCTCGATGTGGCAGTCACCTTATTTTGGGGTGTCAGTGACCCTATTTGAATGGCCACTGAATCTTATTTTGTTTTTGTTGAGGGTTTCGGGGGTCCTCTTTTGCTTTTGTTTTTGATCCCTAACTTTTGCATGGATTGACTTTGCTTGTAAGATCCATCAGGATTGTCTTGATTTTGCCCAAGTCCCCTCTGAGGTGTTTGACTTAGCAGGCTTTTTGATTTTTTTTGGATTTTATTGGAGGATTGTGACTGCCATGTCATGGGTCTTTGATGAACAACCGTCTTCTGGATTTTGCTTTGTTGATTTGAGTGCGGAGTTGGATTAACTGAACACTACCCTGTCCCAGGTTGAGTGTAAGGTTTGAATATCCGAAGGAAACTGCTACTCCTAGGCTCGAAGTGGTTTACTAGGGATTAACTCCTTATATCTCCAGTGTTTGGGGATTGAAGCAATGCCTGTACATCATTGACGGGATTCTGTCTGAAAGCATACAGTTTGCAATTATGGGTATCTCGTTTTCATCATCCTCCCTCAAATCATGTTAAACAACAGTGAATAGAGTGGAGTGAATAAATGTGTCGGTGATAAGTGAAAATGAGTGAATACGACATAACTAATTCAAAATACGCATAAACAATACATTAATGAAAACCAAATACGAATGGAAATTG